ATTTATTTATTTATTTATTTAGAGATGGAGTCTTGCTCTGTCACCCAGATTGGAGTGCAGTGGTGTGATCTTGGCTCACTGCAGCCTCTGCCTCCTAGGTTCAAGCGATTCTCTTGCCTCAGCCTCCCAAGTAGCTGAGACTACAGATATGTGCCACCACTGCCTGGTTAAATTTTGTATTTTTAGTAGAGACAGGGTTTGCTATGTTGGTCAGGCTGGTCTTGAACTCCTGACCTCAAGTGATCTGCCTGCCTTTACCTCCCAAAGTGCTGGGATTACAGGCATGAGCCACTGTGCATGGCCAATACTTTTTATTTTTTATTTTTGTTTATTTACTTATTTTTTTTGAGATAGAGTCTTATTCTGTCATCCAGGCTGGAGTGCTGTGGCACAGTCTTGGCTCACTGCAACCTCCGTCTTCCAGGTTCAAGTGATTCTTTTATTTATTTTTTGAGACAGAGTCTAACTCTTGTCACCCGGGCTGGAGTGCAGTGGTGGATCTCGGCTCACTGCAACCTCCGCCTCCCAGGCTCAAGCAATTCTCCCGCCTCAGTCTTCCAAGTAACTGGGATTACAGGCGTGTGCCACCATGCCCAGCTAATTTTTGTGTTTTTAGTGGAGATGGGGTTTCACCATGTTGGCCAGGCTGGTCTCAAACTCCTGATCTTAATGATCCATCTGCTTTGGCCTACCAAAGTGCTGGGATTACAGGCGTGAGCCACTGCACTTGGCCCAAGGGGTTCTTGTGTCTCAGCCTCCCGAGTAGCTAGGATTACAGGTGCACACCACCATGCCCGGCTGATTTTTGTATTTTTAGTAGAGAAGGGGTTTCACCATGTTGGTCAGGCTGCTTTTGAACTCCTGACCTCAAGTGATCTACCCGCCTTGGCCTTCCAAAGTACTGGGATTACAGGCATGAACCACCGTGCCAGGCCATAAATACTTTTTAGATTTGTTCTGTAACTCAGTTATGTTACTTGGAAGCAGTTTGATTCTTTTTGGTAAGAAGGTAATTATTCCTACCACTGGACCCTTTTGTGTACTCTATGCAACATCCATTAATTATGGCATTTTCCGGTACACATCCCCACATTGCTTGGAGGAAAGGACCTAGAGAAAAGTCGCAGGGCAGAAAAGCAGTGGAGGGCAGCCCTGGATTTGGCTTATCAGTCCTTGGGGCCCTCCTGCCCCAGGAAGAGCAGCGAGGACTATGGTGTTGCTGCCATCATTATCACCCTGGCCATGAGCTTGCAGGACTGGGGCAGACCCAGAGGAGGACTGGAAGGGCCAGAGTCAGCCAGGAACACAGCAGCTCAGCTCTCGACTGTTGGCAGGTGGCCTTGATGGCTTTTCAAAGGCAATCACTCCACCCAGGACAAAGCTCATTTTTCTTTGGGGCAAAACACATCGGTTCATTTGTTCAGTTCATTAATTCAACCAGTCTGTTTCTAAGGGAAACCTGGCTGTGGCCAGTCCTGCCCTCATGTCCCTAGGTGCCCAGTGTTCCCAAGGGACCTGAATTCCAATCCCAGTTAGGAGTTCAAGGGTCAGTATCCCTGTGCCCCAGATGCCTGTTAGGGAGGACAGTAAAGGCTGAGCACTCTTGGGCTCACCAAACACCAGCATTGAGAAACCGCCCCCCATCTTCCCTAGGTATGGTGACCTTGTAGGACAGTTCATGCTATTGGGGTGGCCTGGGTAGGGTGGCCACGGGGGCAGGGGACCAAGGTCTGCCCCACCTTTGACCTTAGTGACATGCCCCTGATTGCCTGGCCCCGCTCTGGCTGTCGCCTGAGTCCCTTCTCAGGGGGTGCCTGGGCCTTGCTGCACTTCCTTTGTATGCTAACATCATACTGATCACACTTGATTTTCTTACTCTGATTTCCCTTCTTTCCAATTTTTTCATCAAGTTAAAAATTCTGTATTGAGAGCAGTTTCCTACATTACCTCAAATCCTATTCAGAACAAGGATCATTCCTAGAAGTCAGAAAGGAGGGAAAACAAGCTTAGCCACAGAACACTACTCATACTTGAGCTTCTGTTTCAAGGGAAGTGAGTAACTGGTGGTGGAGCCCTGCCCCTCTGCAGTGTGTGGTTTTGTCCTGACACATTTTAAGATTGAGGTGTAACTTACGTGTCATACAATGCCCAGACTTATGATGCGTGGAAACAAGAGTTTTCCAGTACAGAAAGTTACTTAGCCTCTCTGGTGCTGTGTAAGCAACAGGTAGTCTTCCCACTTCATTTTTGGTGGTTCTTTCCTTGGCTTGGGTAATTTCCTTGCATGTTCCTTTCTAGAGTTTTCTGTATGCAGCTTTCTGCTCTGTGGTACCCTGTCTTATAAACTCTAGCAGTCCAGCTCTATCTGGACTCTAACCTTCATCTCATCAACTTAAAATTTGCTGAGATCTGCCTGGGTTCCTGCTTCATGCACTGTATTCTGTAATTTCCCTCAAGGTAGTACCTGGGCAATCAGATAACTCATCTATTAATAACTGATTCCCTGTCTCTAAGGGTTTATTGGTTTTGTTTTCTGAGGTGTAGTATCTTGAAGACCATTCTTTCATATATGTTGTCCAGTGCTTTTGGCTTTTTCAAGTGAGACAGCAAATTCTATTCTTGTTACCTTATCATGGTCAGAAGTAGACATTTGTATCTATTTTAAAAATAAATTTCTCATATGATTATGATACAATCACCCCAGCCCTAGTCTATAGGTTAGCATTTGAGAATCATTGCTCTGAGTTGCTCTGGACTACTTCTTTTTTTTTTTTTTTTGAAACAGAGTCTCATTCTGTCACCAGGTTGGAGTGCAGTGGTGCGATCTTGGCTCCCTGCAACCTCTGCCTTCTGGGTTCAAGTGATTCTCGTGCCTCAGACTCTCCAGTAGTTGGAATTACAGGCACGTGCCACCACAATCAGCTAACTTTTTTTTTTTTTTAGATGGAGTCTCGCTCTGTTGCCCAGGCTGGAGTGCAGCGGCACGTTTTTAGCTCACTGCAAGCTCCGCCTCCTGGGTTCATGCCATTCTCCTGCCTTAGCCTCCCGAATAGCTGGGACTACAGGCGCCCGCCACCACGCCCAGCTAATTTTTTGTATTTTTAGTAGAGATGGGGTTTCACTGTGTTAGCCAGGATGGTCTCCATCTCCTGACCTTGTGATCCGCCCACCTCGGCCTCCCAAAGTGCTGGGATTACAGGTGTGAGCCACCGCGCACGGCCCTCTATATATATATATTTTTTTTTCCAATTTTTTTGAGACAGAGTCTAACTCTTGTTGCCCAGGCTGGAGTGCAGTGGCGTGAGCTCAGCTCACTGCAACCTCCACCTCCAGGGTTCATGCTATTCTCCTGCCTCAGCCTCCCAAATAGCTGGGATTACAGGTGCCTGCCACCACGCCCGGCTAATTTTTGTATTTTTAGTAGAGACGGGATTTCACCATGTTGCCCATGCTGGTCTCGAACTCCTGAGCTCAGGCGATCCACCTGCCATGGCCTCCCAAAGTGCTGGGATTACAGGCGAGAGCCACCACGCCCGGCCTACTGGACTACTTCTCACTGATCTTCAGTCTTCCATATACCTGTTTCTATGCCATTGCTTGTACAGTTCTCCAAGTCCTGAATACCTTCTTCTCTTTTGTTTTTCTGATCCAATCCTTTTGTATGTGGGAATGAGCAGGGAAGTCTTCCTCTGTCACCCAGGCTGGAGTGCAGTGGCATGATCATAGCTCACTGCAGCCTCAATCTCCTGGGCTCAAGTGATCCTATCAGCTCAGCCTCTTGAGTAGCAAGGACCACAGGCGTGTACCACCATGCTTGGCCAATATTTTTCTTATATTTTTGGAGACGGGTCTCACTCTGTAGCCCAGGTTGGTCTCAGACTCCTGACTTCTTGGCCTCAAGCAATCCTCCTGCCTGAGCCTCCCAAAGCACTGAGATTACAGGAGTGAGCCACCATGTCTGGCCAAATTTTAAAGATTCTTCAAAGTTTAATCAAAATGTTATCTCCTCCTCCTCAGAGTAGCAAGGACTCCAGCCTTCTGCCTAGAAAATCACTCCTTCCTAAGTGCTCCTACAATAAATTTATTTTCGTCATAGTAGTTGTTATATTTTGCACTTTATAATAGTCATTTGTTCACCTTTTTGTAAAGTTACTAAGGACAGACACTTTTTCTTGCACAAAGTAGGTGTCGTATTGTATTATACACTAAGGAAATGAAAGACGGCCTTGAAAGGAATAGACCAAGTAATAGAACTAAACAGTGTAGAGAGAATATTTTAGTCTTTGCATAAGGTGGTTTGTAAAGCTTTGTTTTGGTCCAGCAAATCTAGGATGAGTTTAGCAAATAGGATTCATCTTGCTTGGGGAATCTGATTGGACGGTATGTTGAGAAGGATTCTGAGGGCACATTATGGCTCATTGAGAAAGATAGCCATTAGATAGTAACATGTTGGATTGTCTCAGGTGTTTTGACTAAACATAGGATATTTTGCAATAATATTAGGTTGAGGCAAAAATAATTGCAGTTTTTGCCCTTAAAAGTGATGGCAAAACTGCAATTACTTTTGCACCAACTGAATAGCTAACAAATATATAATACACATCAGGCAGTATTCTAAGCACGAAACATACATCAACTCATTTACTTACCCTGACAATCCATTGAGGTAAGTTCTGTTAATAGCCCCATTTTGCAGGTAGGGAAACTTAGACACAGAAAAGTTAACTAACTTCCTCAAATCACACTGGTGGTAATTCTGGCTCCAGACAATTCTCCATTGTTACTGTTATGTTGCTGTTCTAATGAACATTCAATGTTTTCAGAAACACTGTGGTAGTTAGCATATACAGCTATACTTCTATGGTATGAAAGGGACAAAATAGATTTGTTGCTTGCTAATATAATAGGCCAAATTTCCCAAATGTCTACCTTAGATTAGAAAGATTTATCTTTCCTGATCCATATAGTCATGTCTGATCCTTTGTGTTTTATTTCTTTAGGGTCCCTTGCCAGCTCCATCTTTGACCCGCTCAGATATCTTGTGGGAGCTTCAGGAGGAGTCTATGCTCTGATGGGAGGCTATTTTATGAATGTTCTGGTGGTAAGAACCACGGGGATGGAGTCCACGGGTCTCTTAAAAAAACAGAAAACAGTAACTGTTCTTTCGTTTAATGAATCTTCATTTATCAATATTTACTGAGCACTAATTTTTCTGAGAATTGTATGGCAATGCCATTTTGTTTCCTTCCTTTTCTTTCATTTTTTTCTGAGATAGAGTCTTGCGCCATTGCCCAGGCTGGAATGCAGTAGTGTGATACTGGCTCACTGCACTTCTGCCTCCCGGGGTCAAGCAATCCTCCCACCTCAGCCTCCTGAATAGCTGGGACTACAGGTGTGGGCCACCATGCCTGACTAATGTTTTTATTGTTTGTAGAGCCAGGGTTTCGGCATGTTGCCCAGGCTGGTTTCGAACTCCTAGGCTCAAGTGATCCGCTCACGTTGGCCTCCCAAAGTGCTGGGATTACAGGCGTGAGCCGCCACACCTAGTTTCCTTTCATATTTTATCATTTTTTTTTTTTCTGATTTCAAAAGTAATGATTACTACATAAAATTTTAAATAAAAAAGTAGAAAGTTAAGGTCCTCAATATAGTATCTGTAAACAGTTGGGTGGGTAGTGAAAGACATTGTTGACAGTTTCATATTTTTTTCAGCCTGTTTTATTTTTATTTTTTTAAAGGAAACCAAGTTTATTAAGAAAGTAAAGGAATAAAAGAACAACTACTTCATAGGCAGAGCAGCCCAGACCTTTCTCTACGTGTATTAAAAATCTTACCAATGTTAATCTTTTAACAGTGACATTACCCTTATATTGTTCTGCATTTTATCACAGAGCATCCTGACTGTCTACCCATGTCAGTGCTTAGAAATCCTCCCAGCTTAGCAGCTGCTCCCTAGCATCCTCTATATAGATGCACCATGATTTATTTAATGAATTGCTCATTGAAAAAAATTTGGGGTGATTCTTGCTTTTCATGTTTACAAGTAACACTATAAGAAATGCTCTTGGCCGGGTGTGGTGGCTGACACCTGTAACCCAACCTCGTGCGGAAGGCCGCGGCTCGCCGCGTGCATCAATCGAGTGCGCTCGCGGCTCCTGGCCACGGTGACCCCGTCTCTCACCTCCAACCAACCACCCCTTACTGGGTGTGCGTGGCGTGTGCTCGTCGTCGCTTGCGAGCTGCGGCAGACAGATGTTGACCCTGGGCGGCGGCCGGTCCCAGTGGTGGAGAATCACGCTACCTGCTACGCTGGCACACACCCTGCTCTCCACAACCCACACGCTCTTTTGCCTTTTCTCTTTGCTTTGGTGATTTTATTTTTTTTCTCTTGGGTAGGATCACCTTTCAAGCGGGCGTAGGTGGGCTCTGCCCTGTATCCCAGCACTTTCGGGAGGCTGAGGTGGGCGGCGGATCACAAGGTCAACCGAGATGGAGACATCCTGGCCAAACATGGAAACCCCATCTCTCTCCACTACCAAATTCTAGTGGTCTGCTGGCCGCCGCGTGCGCCAGCTACTCTGGAGCTGAGGCAGCGCCAATTGTTGACCGTGGGAACACGTGGCAGGTTGCAGTGAGCCAAGATTGTGCCACTGCACTGCAGCCTGGACGACAGAGTGAGATTCCATCTCAAAAAAAAATTAAAAAAAAAATTATACGTAGAAAAGTGTAAAGCAATTATAAAACTGTTCCAAATATAGAAATCACTAAGTAAAGTGGTTTTTTCAACTTTAGATTGCAACCCATTAGTGGTTGTAGACTCACTTTAAGGAATTGTGGCCAAAAGTTAAGCCCAAGAAAAAAAAAGTCAGTGTTATTGTTTGATTTATGTGTGTACTGGGTTGTTAGGTAAAGTACTTCTTACTGTAGGTTGTGGTCACAAGAGTTTGAAAATAATTGATTTAGAATAAACGTGCCTATTTCAGCATCTTTACTCCTTGGGAAGAGAGTTACTAATTTGAAAGGGAAGGGACAAGTAATTCAATAAATTATATTAGAAATGTCTCACTCAGCAGTTCGCCAGTGACATGCAAGGGACCCAAAGCTAAAATCCCACAGTGTGCCAGGTGTGCTGCCGTGCACCTGTAGTCCCAGCTACTCAGGAGTCAGACAGGAGGAAGGCTTGAGTCTAGGAGTTCGAGGCTGCAGTGAACTATAGATTGCACTGCTGCACTCCAACCTGGGTGACAGAGTGAGACCCTCTCTGTCTTCTACCTCCCCTCACAGAACCCCCCCACTGCAAGAGCCCCCCCACAAAAATCCCTGCAATAATTTTTGACGAATATTTTCAATGTTTTTGAAATTACCTCAAAAAATTAAGGTAATACTCAAATCTCAGTTAAGTCTTTGCTAAATACTACTGGGAAAGAGGATGAAGAAATATCAAATGAATATTAATGAAAAATCTTAGGAATATTTCATCAATCTTAGTTTAACAGCATTTATTTATCTATTTATTGACAAGTGTTGATTTTATATTACTTTTATTGAGATTATTTCTGGCTAGCAAAATTGTGTCATTTATATCATTAAATTAAATATCTTGTCATTTTATTCCCCAAAGTGCATTGTACTTCCTAAATACATTTAAAAACTTGGCCGTGACACTCATGCTTTGATTTGCAAGTATTTGACACTGGAAGGTTATTTCAAATGAAGAGCAGATGAAGAGGGAATAGAGTTGAGGTTTCATTTGTCCATAGATAGCTTATATAATTATTATTTATCTCTTTGCAAGAATTTTCGAGAAATGATTCCTGCCTTTGGAATTTTCAGACTGCTGGTCATCATCCTGATAAGTAAGTGTGTTTTGTGAACACTTCATACTGTCAAAGTGAAACTAAAATATAGAGACAAATCTCTAAACATTTTATTTCGGAATCACAGAATTGCAATTTAGGGCATGCACACAGACCTGGGAGGTCTATGGTATGTCAGAAGTACAAAAGAAAAGGCTGGAGGGTTTATTAGAAAGATAAATTTTACATATTATATTGAAAGAAAGCTCACTGGCACTAGAGCAGCCTTTGGGAGCTGGTTGGTGAGTGATGATAGCGGGGAGAACTAGTCTTAGACTTGTGTTGTTTAGACCTGATTCTTAGACTCAGTTTGTTTCAGCAGCTATTAGGTAAAACTAGTCCATATTATGGTTAGAGCAGGTAGTTTCAGCAGCTGGGCTTGTGGAGAATTCAATTGTTGGAGCAGTGCCGTGTGCTCTGAGTGCTTTTGTCCCCTAGCCCCTCAACTCTGATTTAGTTGGGTTTGACAAGAATGACCTATTTTGCATAATCAACTCATACAATATTTTCACAATGTTATTGGTTTAGCCTTCAGAAGGCCTTTCCACATTTCCCAAACACTAACATGGAGAATAACTGCAAACCTACAGTTAGAAAAAAATTGTCCACTTCACAGCACTAAGCAGAAAGAATTAAACAAAGGAGTTTTACAGGCTCTCGTAGGTGGTTCTTAGACATGCCTACATGATGTATTTTTGCTTTTTGTATCTTTATGGAGTGGGGGAAGCCAAGAGAATAGAGACCTAGGCACCCCCTCTACTTGAACCACAATAGCTTCACTTATGTTTTATATACTGGACTTTTTCATATATTGGAAGCTGTATGTGATTTTGTCTGCAAAGGGAAAACTTGGAAACCACTGATATAATCTCTTTTCTTCCTCAATTTCTAAATTTTCAGATTAAAAAAAAAAAAAACTGATCCAGAATATAAGTATTGAGTGATAGCTGATAGTTGAGGATTAATGATAGAGAGCTGGGGGGGGGGGGGCGGGGGGGGGCGGGCAACTGTTCAAGAAGCCCAGACCAAGAGGGTGACTAATGTGGCTTTTGACATCTCCAAGAATTCTAGAATCACATGCTAAAGGAGGTTAGGAAGAATGCTGTCTGGAGAGGTGATGGAAGTGCAGCTGAGTCTGAGAGTAAAGGTAGATTCCAGATGACAGCAGGCCACAGAGCATGGAAGAAAACAAGATCAAAGGTGGGGCTGGTAACTGGTGTTGACGGACCTGCTCCAGTTGAAGTTTTCTCTACCTGGAGGGCTGTGGAAGAATGACAGACCCTGGGGTCAGACCTGAAAGCCAAGGCAGAGGTTATACCTGATAAAGCCTAAGATGTTGGCTGTCCACATAGTAAGAAAACAGGATTTTGCAATTTCTATCAAGGGTTCAATGATCCCCATTACAGGAACAGAGGCAACTATGTCTGTGGGAAGGGACTCTTTAGTTTATTGATGATTTAATTGTAAGAACATTAATATTTCACTCTGAGATAAAATAATTCACTTGTTTGTAGTTTATACTATTCTTAATTTTTTTCTTCATAACAAATTCAAAACCTAAGAGAAGGGAGAGTGAGTATCTGGGAGACAGCAGAGCCGCTGCAGGAGCTGAGCTGCCTCCTCAATTGTTCAGGGTCACACCCAGAATCAGAGGACACATTGTTTGGGCACAGAAAGGTTGTCACTCAAGATACGGGGTCTTCAGTCAGTCTGCTTCATTTCCAAAAGTTCTTTGGCCTGGTTTACCTACTATTGAAAATGGGAAGAGTTACAACATATACCAGATTAATAAAATATAAATGCATTTGTATTTGAAACATGTTTCTTTGGAAATGTATACAATTTTGTTTTAAGTTGTAAATATTCTTTTTTTTTTGAGACGGAGTCTTGCTCTGTTGCCCAGGCTGGAGTGTAGTGGCGTGATCTTGGCTCACTGCAACCTCCGCCTCCCGGTTCAAGCAATTCTCCTGTCTCAGCCTCTCCTGTCTACAGGTGCATGCCACCATGCCCGGCTTATTTTTGTATTTTTACTAGAGATGGGGTTTCACCATATTGGTCAGGCTGGTCTCGAACTCCTGACCTCAGGTGATCTACTCGCCTCAGCCTCCCAAAGTTATGGGATTATAGCTGTGAGTCACCGTGCCCAGCCAAGTTATAAATATTCTTAATTGTGAATGGCAGTTGGCCAAAAAACATTCCTTCATCAAGCACTATGTTCAAGACCAGTCTGTGCAACATAGGGAAACTGTCTCTACAAAAAAATTGGTCGGGTGTTGCGGTGTGGGCCTGTGGTTCCAGCTCCTCAGGAGGCTGAGGTGGGAGAATTCGCCTGAGCCTGGGAGGTCGAGGCTGCAGTGAGCCGTGATCATGCCACTGTACTCTAGTCTGTTTGTTTGTTTGTTTGTTTTTGAGACGGAGTCTCGCTCTGTCGCCCAGGCTGGAGTGCAGTGGCCGGATCTCAGCTCACTGCAAGCTCCGCCTCCCGGGTTCATGCCATTCTCCTGCCTCAGCCTCCCGAGTAGCTGGAACTACAGGCCCCCGCCACCTTGCCCGGCTAGTTTTTTGTATTTTTTAGTAGAGACGGGGTTTCACCATGTTAGCCAGGATGGTCTCGATCTCCTGACCTCGTGATCTGCCTGTCTTGGCCTCCCAAAGCGCTGGGATTACAGGCTTGAGCCGCTGCGCCCGGCCTGTACTCTAGTCTGGGCAGCAGACTTCATGTGAAGGCAACTCTTTTAAAGTAAACGTCAAATTTTTAATGAGGACAATGGTTTGGCTTCTTGGTGTAAGGGCTTATTTTCAGGTTGGAAGACATGTCTCAGTTTAGAGGCAGCAGCAACCCAGAAGAAAAGTCCCCTAGGAAGCAGAAAGAGGAAAGAGCCAGACTCAGATATAGGAAGGGGCAAGATGGAGAGAAACTGGTTGGAGAAATTGACATACTAATGGTTACAAAGACTTTCTGAGAGGAGGTCTCCTATCCTAGAAGACTAAACCAAAGTAACTGTTTGTGGCAGTGTTTTTAAAAATACTTTCCTAGACCCATGGGCATGTTATTATGTGGACCAGGAAATGCAAATGATGATTGAAAATATGGGCTAGGCACAGTAGCTCATTCCTATAATCCCAGCACTTTGGGAAGCTGAGGTGGGTGGATCATGAGGTCAGGAGATTGAGACCATCCTGGTCTCATGGTGAAACCCTGTCTCTACTAAAAATACAAAAATTAGCCAGGCGTGGTGACATGGCCTGTAGTTCCAGCTGCTCCAGAGGCTCAGGCAGGAGAATCACTTAAACTCAGGAGGCGGAGGTTGCAGTGAGCTGAGAATGCACCACTGCACTCCAGCCTGGGTGACAGTGAGACTGTGTCTCAAAACAAAACAAAACAAAACAAAAAGACAATATGATACAGCCTCATTAATCTAGCACTTTGTAATAGTCATTTACAATTAAATGAATATTGAATACTTCCTCGACCTCAATTTCTGTCCAGTGACTTCAACATCAATCAATACAGTATTGAAAGGGAATCTAGTCAGAACACATGTCCTGATGCTATTTTCCCAAAGGCAAGGACTAGGTCTTTTCATCTCCTAGGACACAGTGGCTCACTAAGTAGAGCACAGGGAATTAGGGGGTGGGTGTGGAATGCAATAGCTGCAAGAGATGTTTCCTAGCACTACACATATAGGGCAGAGTTCTTCTAGGCCAAGAAATCGGAAGCTCCTTTTGCAGCACAGATCTGACTTACTGGAAGACTGCCTAACTTCTGGCTCTCACAGTTTTATTGGAGAATATGGAATCATTTGCTTTCATGGCCTGACACCTTCAGAACTCCCGATGGTAATTACAGGCAATTACCATGATGACTGAGAGTGGAGCCTTGGTGTCTTGGTTTCTTTATGTATAAAATGCCACCATCCTTCTTCACTTTGATTGCTACAATAGTATTTTTCCAGCTGGTCTTCCAGTTCCTGTTCTTGCTCCCTTATAGTCTGCTTCCTATATGGCAGCTAGAATAATCTTTGTAAAACCACCAGTGTAGTCACTTAAGCCTATAATCCCAGCACTTTGGGAGGCCGAGGTGGGTGGATCACCTGAGGTCAGAAGTTCAAGAGTTGGAGACCACCCTGGTCAACACGGTGAAACCTTGTCTCTACTAAAAATACAAAAATTAACTGGGCATGGTGGCAGGCGCCTGTAATCCCAGCACTTTGTGGGGCTCAGGCAGGTGGAGCAGCTGAGGTCAGGAGTTCAAGAGCTCAAGACCAACCTGACCAACATGGTGAAACCCCGTCTCTACTACATATACAAAGATTAGCCAGGTGTGGTGGCACATGTCTATAATCCCAGCTAATCAGGAGGCGGAGGCATGAAAATTGCTTGAACCTGGGAGGTGGAGGTTGCAGTGAGCCAAGATTTTACTACTGCACTCCAGCCTGGGTGACAGAGTTGAGACTCTGTCACAAACAAACAAACAAAATGTACCATGCCACTCCTGTGCTCAAGAGCTTTCAAAGACTTCCTATCACTCAGTAAAAGTTAGAGTCCTTACAATGGCCCATATAGACCCTACATAATCTGTCCCCTGCTACCTGTTTGATGTCATCACCCACAACCTTATCCCTAACTCTAGTCCAGAATCACCTGGAGGTCTCGTTAAAACAAAATTGTTGGAAACAACAACTTGACCACAGTTGGTAGTTGGAAAACACAGTCATGGAAGTTGGAATCTGCTAAGGAGTGTACAACTTACCTTCTAAAAACAAAACAGAAAGCTGAGTCCCACCCTCAAGGTTTCTGGTTCAGTAGGTCTGGGGTGGGTTTAAGAGTTTTCATTTCTAGTAAGTTTCCAGGTGAAGCTGATACTGCTGGTCTTGGTAAAAACCACTTTGAAAACCACTGATCCAGCCAGCTCAACTGCTTTGGTATTTTTCAAACACACCAGGCATATTCCTGCTTAGGGACTTTGTACTTGGTCTTCCCTCTCTCTGAAACACTCTTGTGTCAAATAGCAGCATGACTTGAACCCTTACCTCTGTCCAGCGTCATATTCTCAGAGAGATCCTCCTTGATACCCCTATTGGAAATCACACTTGACATCTGGTATTCCTAGTTGTTGTTCCTCTCTTTGTATTTTCTCCATAGCTCTTAGCACTATTTGACATACTGTATGTTTTACTTATTTGTTTGCCTCCCTGCCAATCACTCCCCGCCACACCCGCCAACAGTTTGTCAGCTACATGAGGCAGGTCTGTTAGATCTGCCCACTGCTGCCCATCTACCAGCTAGAATGATGCCTGACACATAGAGGACAATGAATGCTTGTTGGATGAATAAATCTGTAAAATGGGATAATGATAGTTCCTACTTCATAGGGTTGTGATGAAGATTAATGAGTTAAAAAATCTCGTAGAAAAGCACCTGTCACAGAGTTAAGTCTCAATAAATGATAGCTAGTATTATTATTATTAGAGGGGAACCAAAAACATTTGGTGTACTATTGTGGAGATTCTGAGCCTTTATCAGGGTGTTTTTCCTTCTAGTTGTGTTAGACATGGGATTTGCTCTCTACAGAAGGTTCTTTGTTCCTGAAGATGGGTCTCCGGTGAGTTCAGTTTCTTTCTTTTATAAAATGGAAATTTGTTTACTGTCAAAAAGGGTTATCAAATAGGGGTTACAACGCTGTGATTTAGGGCAGCCAAATTTCCATTTGGAAGTTAAGAAAATTTTTAAGGAAATCAGACGTTTGAATTGTCCTTCCTACTTAACTCTCTCAAAGCCCTAATCACTGGCTCTACTTCACTGCACCTGCCATATTGGTAGCTATTCCAAAACAGGAGAGAATGGCCGGGCGCGATGGCTCACGCCTGTAATTCCAGCACTTTGGGAGGCCGAGACTGGTGGATCACAAGGTCAGGAGTTCGAGGCCAGCCTGGCCAATATGGTGAAACCCTGTCTCTACTACAAATACAAAAACTATCCGGGCTTGGTGGCAGGCACCTGTAATTTCAGCTACTCGGGAGGCTGAGGTAGGAGAATCGCTTGAATCCGGGAGGCGGAGGTTGCAGTGAACCGAGATCGCGTCACTGCATTCCAGCCTGGGTGACAGAGTGAGACTCCATCTCAACAAAACAGAACAACAACAACAAAAAAACCCAGTAAACAGGAGAGAATGGATTTTCCTGTCCACATAGAATAAAAAGCAGATTGGTTTAGCCAGGCATGGTGGCATGTGCCTGTAGTTCCAGCTACTTGGGAAGCTGAGATGGGAGGATTGCTTGAGTCTCAGAGGTTGAGTCTGTAGTGAGCTGTGATCATGCCACTGCACTCCAGCCTGGGTGACAGAGTTGAGACCCCATTTCAAAAAACAAAACAAAACGAAAAAGCAGATTGGAAAACAGCAATGAAAATTTGAGTTCTATAAACTGACAATAAAGAAAATTGACAAAAATTTCCAGTTTTGCTGGGATTTATCTTTGAATTTGGTAGTTTCTGTTTGGGTATTTGTTGTGTACGTTATTACTTGTGTTTTAAATGTGACACCCCATGTATGTGCAATCAGATTATGCTGCTATAGAGCTCCCTCATGGCAACTCAACCATTCTCTTAGTTGGCATCATATAGAATTATTTTAAATGCAATGATGATCAAGAACGAGAAACAATTTCTCTTGTCTTTTGTACTCTAAGAATGGGTGAAAATGACATTTCTTAGCTTTGTATGTTTCAGAGTATCTCCTTCTCTCTGTGCACATGGAGTTTTGTGTCTCTTTTGTCTTACCCCTAGTTCTCTAGACTTTTAAGACTCTTGTTTGACTGTGATGGTACTTGTGTTTGAATAAGAGAGATGCAACTGAAATACACAATTAGCATTGTCTTCACTTATTTCCATTTTCTCCTTTTCTCCCAAGGTGTCTTTTGCAGCTCACGTTGCAGGTGGATTTGCTGGAATGTCCATCGGCTACACGGTGTTTAGCTGCTTTGATAAAGCACTGCTGAAAGATCCAAGGTTTTGGATAGCAATCGCTGCTTATTTAGCTTGTGTCTTATTTGCTGTGTTTTTCAACATTTTCCTATCTCCGGCAAACTGACCTGCTCCTATTATAAGCCAATTAATAAAAAGAGCCATCTGGATGGGGGAAAAAAAAAGGAAGACTCTATGAAGAAACAGAAGTCTCAGCAAAGGTTAACAACTTTATATAGAGGAAAAAACAGCATTAAACTCATCAGTTGCAAAGATTGCCTACAAAAGGACCTTAGGATTTAAGGAAGGGGCTTCTTAATGTAGAAACGGAAGAAGAAGAGAGAAAAGAAGGGTAGTAAAAACTGGAGATTGGGGCCAGGAGCACTGGCTCATGCCTGTAATCCCAGCACTTTGGGAGGCTGAGGTGGGTGAAATCACCTGAGGTCAGGAGTTCAAGACCAGCCTGACCAATATGGTGAAACCCTGTCTCTACTAAAGAAAATACAAAAATTAGCTGGGTGTGGTACTGCGTGCCTGTAGTCCCAGCTACTTGGGAGACTGAGGCAGGAGAATTGCTTGAACCTGGGAGGCAAAGGTTGCAGTGAGCTGAGATCACACCACTGCAGTCCAGCGTGGGTGATAGAGCGACACTCCGTCTCAAAAAACAAAACAAAACTAGAGATTGGGTCTTTCTTTCCCAGGCATATGGTATTCTATAAACCAGACTTCTCCTTGGAGGATATATTTTGGAGAATGCTTCATAAAATCAATGAATACTGTACAATGCTGATAATAAAAACTTTTTATACCTGTGTCAGACTCCTGATAATCACTTTAAAATAGATCACTGTTTCAGAAGATAGAACTGTTTGAGGTGTTTTACATACTTTATTGATAATGTTATCAACAACCCAGAGAGGTAGTTATTACTCTGCATCTTAGAGTAATCGTAAAGAATCCCTTAAATAAACCCTTAAAGAATTACGTACTTGTCTGAGGGGAGCAGCATTTAAACATAGGTAATGACTTGGAAACCTGTAGTCTCTCCTAGAGGTCCAACAGTGCTGTGTTCCCCCAATACTGAAGAGTATCATAGGAGTACAGGAACAAACATCTATGCGGGGTACACCATGAATGGTGGAAATATCTCATAGAAGAAGACTGAGGATTTTCTGGACTTGCTAGTTTAAAGATTCTGATACCGTGTCTAAGATCCCAAGGAACCTGGCACTGGCTTTCTGGTGGAACATATATACCTAGACTTCAGATTCTCATCTGTGATCAGACTGTCATCCTTCGTGTGGCTCATGGCTCTCCTAGGAGTGGGTAGGATTTATTTACAAAAGGTAAAATGTCATACCTGAAAGCTGAGAAGCATGTGTCCTTTTTCTGTGTAGAATTCAGACTGTGGTTTATTATGTTTTTGGAAATGGTAGTTTAGGTCCTCGGGAATACAGGGAATATAATTTTTTCTTTTATCATCAACGTATTTATTAAACACCCATCTAAACATGGTTACTGTATTAGGAAGGGCATATACACTTAGATATAGTGAGAAAAGTAATACTTTAGTATATGAGAAAAACTGATCAGAAATTTGTTTCAAAAGTTAAATTTAAGTATGAACATGGGAATATGAGTGTGTTCCTTTTTATTCTTTTTTTTGAGATGGAATCTCGCCTCTGTTTCCCAGGCTGGAGTGCAGTGGGCAGAATCTTGGCTCACTGCAACCTCTGCCTCCTGGGTTCAAGCAATTCTCCTACCTCAGCCCTCCCGAGGTACCTTGGATTACAGGTGTGCGCCACCACACTTGGCTCATTTTTTTTTTTTTTTTTTTTAAGATGGAGTCTTGCTCTGTCACCCAGGCTGGAGTGCAGTGGCCCAATCTTGGCTCACTGAAACTTCCGCCCTCCCGGTTCAAGCGATTCTCCTGTCTCAGCTTCCTGAGTAGCTGGAATTACAGGTGGCCGCCACCCAAGCCCAGCTAATTTTGTATTTTTTTTTTTTTTTTTTAAGTAGAGATGTGGTTTCACCATGCTGGCCAGGCTGGTCTCGAACTCCCGACCTCAGGACCTCAGGCAATCTGGCCTACCTTGCCTCCCAAAGGTTGGGATACAAGGCATGAGCCACCATCGCCCGGGTCCCTAATTTTTTTTTTTTGAGACTGAGTTTTCGGCTCTTGTTGCCTTAGGGCTGAGTGCAATGGCAAATCTCAGCTCCCTGCAACCTCCACCACCTGGGTTCAAATGATTCTCCTGCCTCAGCCTCCTGAGTAGCTGGGATTATAAGGCACCCACCCACATGCCTGGCTAATTTTTGTATTTTTAGTAGAGACAAGGTTTCTCCATGTTGGCTAGGCTGGTCTTGAACTTCTGGACCTCAGGTGATCCACCCACCTCTGCCTCCCAAAGTGCTGGAGTACAGGCGTGAGCCACTGCGCTCGGCTAATTTTTGTAGTTTTAGTAGAGACAGTGTTTCACCATGCTTGGCCAGGGCTGGTCTCGAACTCCTGCCTCAAGTGATCCACCCGCCTCAGCCTCCCAAAGTGCTGGGATGACAGGTGTGAGCCACCATGCCTGGCCTTATGAGTATGTTCTTGGTTAAACAAGATTTCAAACAAGAAGTTAAAGATAAAATCTCAGCCAGGTGCAGTGGTCTTATGCTATTATCCTCAGGCACTTTGGGGAGGCCTAAGGTGGGAGGACTGCTTGAGCCCAGGAGTGTTGAGAAACAGCCTGCGGTAACATTCAAGTAGACTCTATAAATTTAAAGAATAAAAAAATGCCAGGGTGTGGTGGGTGCTTGCCTGGTAGTCTAGCTACTCTGGAGCTGAGGTGGGAGGATTACTGGAACCCAGGAGTTCACTAGAACCCAGGAGTTCGAGGTTACAGTGAGCTAGATCATGCCACTGCCCTCCAGCCTGGGTGACAGAGGGAGACCCTGTCTTAAATAAACAAACAAAATCTCCTTTTACCTTCTCACTTCAAACCTGCTGTTTTTCCCTAGTGATGACTATCGTCAGTGGTCACAACAGTATGGTGTGTATCCTTGCAGACTTTTTTCTATGTAGGATGAGCAGAAAGGAAAATGGGTTTAAGTTAATGGCCAATTCATCCACTGTACTGAACTTCACTGAATCTGCTCTACACCCTCAAAGGGACAAATTCAAAGAACAAATTAGAGGTGTCCATGGTATCACTCCCCCTAAGCATCATTTGCTTCTCAGATTTACCTCAACTAGGAAAAGTTTTTGTTAATCAATTGTAGCTAAATATATATATATATGCATATATATTTTATATATGTATATATGTATATGTGTGTGTGTATTTTTTTTCTTGAGACAGGGTCTTTCTCTGTCGCCCAGGCTGGAGTGCAGTGGCACCATCTCGGCTCACTGCAACCTCCGCCTCCCAGGTTCAAGCAATTCTCCTGCCTCAGCCTCCCAGGTAGCTGGGATTATAAGAATGCATCACCATGCCTGGCTAATTTTTGGTATTTTTAATAGAGACTGGGTTTCACCACGTTGGCCAGGCTGGTCTTGAACTCCTGACTTCAGGTGATCTGCCTGTCTCGGCCTCCCAATGTGCTAGGATTACAGATGTGAGCCACCACGCCCGGCCTCTCGTTAGATATTTTTATAAAATGTAGGTTTTAGCAGGATAAATGTGATACATGTATTGTTCTATAACTTGCTTTACAACATGACCTAGGGACCTTTCTCTATTAGTTCATAGAGATCTTTATTCTCTGAATTGCTGAATGATATAGATGTACCATAGCTAACCATTCCTCTGTCGGACATGTAAATTGTTGCTGCTTTTGTATAATTACCAACAGTGCCATGTGAACATCCTAGCATTTGCGGTGTGTCTCTGAGTGTGCATGCTAAGTGAATATTTCAAGTATCCAGAAGCAGAAAGGCTATGCTAATTTTGATAGATTTAAATTGCCTTTTAAATAGCTGTATCCATTTATATTCTTACCTACAGGATATGAGAGTAACAGTGCCTCCCTACCTTGCCAAAAGAAGGTATTATAAATCTTGAAAATTTTGCATTTTGATAGTTAAAAATAATATTTCACTTAAATGTGTATTTTCTAGTGAGGTTGAGCAATTTTCAAGTTTATTAATAATTTATGTGTTACACATATGTAATTCAGATAACACAATATAGAAACATGAATATATTGTGTGTCTATATATAAATATAAAAATATATTAAATATATATATTTATATAAAATATATAAATATAAATATAAAATATAAAAAATATAAATATATATATATGTGTCCCTGGTGAAATGTTTGTATTTAATCTGAGAAGTAGCTATTGTTGGCAAAGAAGCCCAGAGAAGAAATATCTATCTGTTACGCCCAACCTGCCAGATCACTAGCTCTGAAGAGACCTCTAATGACCTAAAATACAATGTAATTGTTAATAACAGAACATGGGAGAGAGAATCAGGATCTATCTATGAAATCGGACATGACCCATTTATTAAGGCAGATGACCAAGACGTTATTATCTAGTAAGAAAGACTTTTTTGGTTCTAGAAACATGGTTTATTGCACAAAAAAAATGACATTTTATTGGGTTCCCCCAGTGGCAAAAATTACAGTACAAACAGCACACAAATATCTCCTGTCATTTTAAATTTGACATCTCTGAGTTATGGAGGAATCATTTACTCAGCTTAATTTGGGGCTCATGACTTTAGTCTTCTAGACTGCAGTGTGTTATCAGGACTATTATAAGCATTCTTATATCTGTGCTGTCCAATAAGGCAGCCATTAGGTAGCTGTAGCTCTTTACATTTTTATTAAAATTATTTGAAATTAAAAATTCATCGCTCTGATACACAAACCATATTGCAAGTGTTCAATAGCTACATTTGGCTACTGGCTGCCTTATTGGCTAGCACAGATAGAATATTTCCATTGTTGCAGAAAGTTCTATTGGACGGTGCTGTTTTAGAAGCAAGGATAAGCAGAAAGGGAAATGGATTTTAGTTGATGGATGACTCACTCACTACATTGAACTGAACTGAATCTGCTCTATACCTGCAAAGGGACAAATTCAGAAAATAAATTGAAGATGGCCATGCTAAATATGGTTTGCTTCTCAGATTTACCTAAACTAAGAAAGGTTTGTGTTAATCTCTCTGTTTTAGCTTATTAAGAAAGAGTTGTTTCAAATGCTTTTATCTTTTTCTTTTGAATTCTATGGGACTGTATCTATGTATACTAGTTTTTATGTCATTTGCTAAGAAAGCTTTAATTTGTAGCTAAATAATACTGTTCCTTCTTTCAGGAAATACTATGTGTTGTCCTTTATGAAAAAAAAATCCTTTATTTCTTTTTATGATTATAAAAGTAAAATGCTCATAGTAAAAAATTGAAATACATATAATTACAATATATTAAGTATATAATTTATAATCCCAACATCCAGAGCTAATCACAGTTAATATTTTCATGAAAATCCTTCTAGACTTTTTTGTATACATTTGTAAAGGTAACTAAATTTATAATAATGGGGCCATATTATTTTATTTTATAACATCAATTTCACTGAAATGAAGTATCAAATGCCTTTTTATGTATGTTTAACATTTCTACTGGTTGCATAGTATCACACCGTGGATGTGGTCCATTATTTAACCAGTTTTTCTTGTATTGATAATTACTTAATGTTTTTAGCTTATGATTATTATAAACATGAATTACATCTTTGCTTACATTATTATTATTATTTACGAACCATAAATTAGACTTAACTTGCTTACTTTTTTTTTTTTTTTAGACAGAGTCTCACTCTGTCGCCCAGGCTAGAATGCAGTGGCTAGATCTCGGCTCACTACAACCTTCGCCTCCCGGGTTCAAGTGATTCTCCTGCCTCAGCCTCCTGCGTAGCTGGGATTACAGGCATGCGCCACCATGCCTGGCTAATTTTTATATTTGTAGTAGAGATGGGGTTTCACCATGTTGGTCAGGCTGGTCTCGAACTCCTGACCTCGTGATCCGCCCGCCTCTGTCTCCCAAAGTGTTGGGATTACAGGTGTGAGCCACGATGCCTGGCCAACTTGCTTACGTTTTAAAGTGCTTTGGGTTGTTGGGTCAGAGTATGCTATTATTATTATTTTTTCGAGACAGAGTCTTGCTCTGTCGCCCAGGCTGGAGTGCAATAGTGTGATCTTGGTTCACTGCAACCTCTGCCTCTGGGTTCAAGTGATTCTCCTGCCTCAGCTTCCTGAGTAGCTGGGACTACAGGTGCCAGCCACCACGCCCGACTAATTTTTGTATTTTTAATAGAGAAAGGGTTTCAACCATGTTGGCCAGGCTGGT